AGAATACTGGACGGTCTTCAAGAGACCGCTGATCTTTGAAACCGACTTGCGGACTTGTTCGATTTACTACGCATCAGTCGTATGCGAAACGAGAAAAAATATATTTTTAAGATTACCTTAGAATGCACATCACCAAATTGCACCATTCTCCCTATTAAAAACGTCCCCACATCCAAGTCATTCACTTTGCTATGACAGAAATCCTGGACCAGGTGGGCCTACTGACCAGGTACCTCCAGCTCCACCTTCCTCAGACGGTCACTGGTCCCTGCGTACCTTTAGGACCAGTCTCTCAAATTTTATCAGTTTTTAACTCGTTGCGTCCTTGTCGGTGATCGGCGTCAGCGCGTTCTTCTTGTCCGCTCTAGCTGGCTGCGCCTTAGGTGCCTCTCTCCTTCCCCTGAACGTACGTTCCATATACACCCGTTCTATTATCCTCTCCGAGTCAAACGCCCGAATCCTTGCTGCTTAACGGGTGCGCTCTCTCGTGTGTGATTGCTCGTGTGTCACTGCTGATCTTACTCCTCTGACCGCTCCGCTCGTCTGGCATATTCGTTTTGTTATCCTAACGCAGGGCGCGTGGTATCCTACGGCTGTGAGCTATGACAGTGATTTTCTAAATTTAAGGGCACACTCCCCCAACAACAGGGCCACACCACCCCACAGTGCGCGCGCTGTTAGGGCGCCGAAAAGCACGCATGGCGGGGGGCTGGCGCGGGGCCTCCCCCAGGATAATTTCAAAATTTCAAAGCGCGTCCGATGCGGCACCAAAAATGAGCCACCATTTGAGCCAGCCGAAAAAAATACACGGAGCCGGCTTACGAGCGGAATTTCAGCTCCCTCAGCCTTTCAAACGGCGCTCCTGCGGTAACAACAATTTACGAGAGCGAAAATTTGGAAAGATACCGACAGAAAAAATTCGCTCCCCGTGCGCCGGCAGCGTTTATAGGAAAATAGCTTTCGCGCCCGAGGCCCGAGCGCCCACCAGTTTTTGCTCGGCTTCTTAACAAGTAAGTTTTTGTATCGTACGGCGGTTAATATCTTGGGGAGTGACCGGCACGACCAGTGACCACAGACACGCACGATAACCAAAGGGCTGTTAACTAGAATTCGTCACATTGATTTGTAGAAGTGAAATATTTTTATTGGGTTCAGAATATATAGAAGAATGTAAAATGTAATATAATTAAAAGCGATTATAGGAACTTTGGTTAAATTTGGGTATGTGAGGAGAAGAATTGATATATTGCAATGGGGACTGACGGCGAGGAGAAAAAGAAAGTAAAAAATTACAAAGAAGATAAAGCGCATTCATAGAGATTCAAGTAAAAGTTTTCTTTAACAATAATAAAAGTACAATAAAAACTATAATCTGAAGTTATGAAATTGATAAGTACAGATGATAAAAATAAAGTTGAAAGATAAAAGAATGAAGTAAAAAAAAGAAAATTGAAATATAAAAATAAAATCATTAAAATGATTATAATTATTGATTTAAGGTATTGTCATGTTAAATTGAATATGTGTAAATGTTGTACGGTGAATGTATGTAGCGCAACAACGA